TATTTCTCGCTAAATGCCAGAATTTTAGCATGTCATTATGACCATGCTAACATGCTAATATTAGCCTTTAGTTCAATGCACCACTGGGCCTCTAAGTACAGCCACACAGAGCTGCCAGCATGGCTGTAAACGCTTTGTCTAGTTACTACTTAAAAAGTCAAGGAGTAGGTCACACTTATGAAAACATGATGTCTAATGGTCAATAGTCATTCAAAATAAATGGCAGAATTCTTGGAACCCTTATAAGCTGATAGGATAGCATTATAATAAAGTTTATATGGTGTCTCACCTTGATGGTACACCAAAAAAGAAATCTACAGTGTATCACGTCTTTAGTCAGTGCAGCGAAATGATTTGGTCTGTTAGTTATTCATGCCAAGGAAATGACACCGATAAAGCAAAAAACTGTCTAGCCAATTTTAACTCATGTTTATTATAATAATGGGCTTCTGCAACCACTGGTTTATATCATCTCTTTTCAACCTTGACTGAAAAAGCTCCCAATGTAAATCTCTTTATTCTTAAGTCTCCAGGGGTTAGTTTTACAAATCTACCCAGCGAGCCAAATGTCTCTGACGCTGATTTTAAACAGGCGTGTATGAAATAGATAGGGGTTGACCAAGCTATGATGCAGTGCTGACTGTGTGTGTTGCTATAGACACTGTGTGCAAACAGAGGATCTTGGATTGACTCAGGGGGGCTCAAAGGGTCACTGAGTAAAGTCAGGCGAGTTCCCTAAGGCACCATGTAGGTGTCTGTTGCCCACTCAAAGTACTTCATGGCTCAATCCTGAGAAACCAGACTCAGATGTCAGGGTGTGACTGTCATACCTCACATACTGACTATCAGAGTCTCAATCAACACTTACTGTATGTATACTGACTAACTAACAGATTAGGCCAAAAATCAAATACCAAGGCCAGAGCAGGCTAACAGATATTTTCAAGAAAAGTAGTCCATAGATCAAAGCTTTTATGGTGTGAGTTGATGGCCAAGTATAGAATTACAGATCATGACCTCTCTCCCATGACAGCGAACCACTGTTTTCTTTAATTATCATAACAGACCACCAACAGTGTACCCAAGGCCCAAGAGAGGGAACCTCATCTCTTCTTCTGATGTGTTTAGATTTATAATCCACTCAGTAAACCAAGGCCACTGCCTGACAACCTTAATATTATTTGGTGTATATACACAACCCATAAAAGGTGTATATTGTTTGGCAAGTTGTTATGGTTGTACCTTAAACCCGACCATGAACCTGGGTGAGGGCCAAACATCAGCATCCACGAATGACAGGTGGTGTGTGGTTGATTTGAACGGAATAAGTCAAAGATCAGAGTCCAGCGTCCACACAAAATAGATAACGTGCTGCTAAATAAAGCTCCCTTATAAATACAGAAACACACACGTGTCGACATAGGGGAAAGAAGCGTCAGATATTTCTGTAGTATGGTTTGATTTTCTGACAGGGTGATGGCGACGGATCACTGGCTCATAGACAAGTAGGGGAGATATGAGCTGGCCAACCGTTTGTGTTGTGTTACATGTGCTGTTTGTATCCATGGCAACTGCACCGTGGCCATGTTCCCTGATTGCCAGATAGAGTCGCTGTCCTTGACAATATTGAGAAACTTAATGTGATTTAGGGGTGGAGTGTCACGTTTTCGGCGTTACTGCTGAAAGAAGGAGAAGTGACTGTCTGTGTGGACTGTGGCGTCATAAAAACTCTGAGATTAGGAGGTCAGATACAATAATTTGGTTTAGATTAAGTAGTAACTGTGTTTTCATGGCACGTGGTTTGAGTCTTTGCAACGTCATGACAGTCAAACGTGACAAAAGAGTATTATATTGCATAAGAATGAAATTAGATAATCACACTTCACTTCAAGAGGCTCTACAGCAGTTTAGTATTTTTACTTTTACTAGCACTGTTATTTTCCCTGTTATCTCTATTGTGACGCAAGCTCCAAAAACACTGGATGCTACTCTTCTCACAAGGCAAATTGGTAGCATTTTATGTTAATTCCTCTCTACTTCTCTCAAACTCCATGCTGCCGGCTGTGGTGGACTGTAATGTAGTATATTTACTCAAGTGTTTAGAGGTATTTGTACTTTGATTGTTACTTTACTGTGCTTCTAATCTAACACATCTCAGAAGGAAATTTTGCACTTTTTTACTCCACTACATTCATTAGCTATAGTTTCTAGTTATTTTGCAAATCCACTTATTAAATACAAAACGTTGGATGAGCTTATAAAACACAATGCATTGCTATAGGTTAATTTACCTTAAAATTAGCTCCTCCTGCAATGAGCTGCAATATAAAAATGCTGCGTACACATTAATGCATCACTAATAATAATCCAATCATATGTAGATTCTGATAAAGCACTTTTACTTTTGAGACTGAATGCATCTTGATACTATACTAAATAACATTTTGAATACAGGGTTTTTATTTGCAATGGAGAATTTTTACACTGTGGGCAACTGTGAGCAGTTTTTTAATCCTCAGCAAAGCTCCATCAGAGCCACAGAGGACATTTTTCAGCGAGCTGACAGATTACTCCTCATGAGAAGTAAATTGATTTTGACTTATAAAATAAGTGGAGTTTAAAGAATGCACCATATGTTTGAGGGATTGGCCTGTACATACTATGTAATAGTTAGCTGTGTCTCCATGCATTCACTCATACATTTCTCAGGATTTCACAAACGCATACATTATTCAGCGATTCTCTCAAGAACATTTTTCTGCTGCTTGTTAGTCCTGCAGCTTTGTGTTTCAGAAGTTGCTCAGATGTTGCTGTGTCTGGGAAAAGTCACTACAACAAGCAAATAGATATCCTGATGCTAAAAATACATGTGACTGACTCTATTTCTGAGACCTGACTGTAATATCTTATTACATGGCACATTGATTGTGGCTGAGGATGATGTGCCTGCTCAGGTATTCTCAGGCTCAATAAAGCTGCCTGATGCTATTTTGGAAGGATTATTTGGTATGTGTTAAATATACTCCGCACACACCCACTTTCATTTTTTATTCATTAATCTGCAAATCTGAATTTTTCCATAACCATCAGAAGTTCGATTGGAAATGAAACCAAACGGGGTAATACAACCTCTTGATACAAACAACACTTACACAGCGGCAAGGAGCACAGACAAAGGCAAGGTCGAGTGTAATTGATAGTAAAAAAAAAAAAAAATCTTAGATGTCAGCTATGTGTTCTGCTGTAGTCAGCCATAATCTATAAATTGTGTAATTTAGATTCCACATAAAGCTATTTGCATGTATAGCACTGGTGTCTGTGGTTTATTTTTACTTTTTAAAACTAAATCATTGTCTGATAAAAGTCAAATCAGAATATCACTCTACACAGTCTATGGCAACACTGCATGTGACACAAAAGAGAGTGGATGCTGCCACCTACAGGAATACAAGATGAATGTATTGTGTAGATGATACAAAAACAGCATCTTAAAAAAAATGGAAAAGAATAGGTCTGAGGAAGAAAATAAGGTCAAAATGTCAGCACAGAAGAGCAGGTACAGCAGAAAACATAAATCCAGTACAAATGTGCCGATAGATTCTAGGATCTAAATATGTAATGCGCTTGAACTGTAACTGAATAAATCATGTTATTCTGACTTGATCACAAATATATTATACATATATATTCTGTGGCTTCTTTGTGTTACATTTGGGCCCAGGTTCTTTTCTTTTTCACTTCAGACAGATTTCGCTGATCCTCAATCTGTTAACTTCTCTAAGCTGATCTCAATTTCAGTTCATTTTATTAGAAATATAGGCCTACCACAAGAACAAGATTACACAATCTAGGATTTTAGTCTGCAAATAGCCCTCCATCGCCCTCCATCTTGCCATGTGATTGCTAACATGAACAGCCACATGTTGAAGTCAAAAGAATTGAATGATTTTCTACTTCTTTCTGTATTAATGCTTCTTTTTTGGGGGGTACAGCTTCAAAAATGCAGAACAACTCACAGTCAAAACTCACACTCAGAACAAATACTTCTTTGTTCTTAGTTCTTGTGTCGACTCATTAATTCAGGATTCAATTTAAAAACAAAGTTGTCCCCCATATATTTGCTGTCAACAACTATATACGTATATTTATATACATATATATCTATACTTCTAAATGTATTCTGAATTCAAAATTCCACCACTTGTACTTCATCAGTTCAAAGGGCCAATCTAATTATGTAATCATAAAATAATTGAAAAAATAACAAAATATTTTTTCAAAATAAAGTCAGTCCAATTACTGTGATTCTTTTCTCATAAGGCTGTTTTTGTTTGTGTATCTCTGGATGAACAGGGAAGCATTGGATAAAATCCATTCATTGATATAATATTGATACTTTGTTTATCGGTAAGGAAATTCTTCATTCGTTCACCCCATTCAGAAACACATACAGGAGTAAAGAGGCCTCCCTCCACATTAATCTCTGTTTCAGCCACACCCATGGCAATTTATTACAATATTAGTTTATGGATAGTATTAACTATGAACACTCTACCATGCCTAATTTAAGGGCCAAATAAAACTTGTTCAATGAACACAGTTGGTAAATAATTGACTGTGATCAGTCCATGTTCGTTCTCTCTGTCCCTCAGCCTCCCAGGCTACAACCTGGCTACTAATTACCCTGAACCCAGCTCTGATCAGTGAGAGTGAGTTTAAACATTTGCTTGAATGACGCCTCCTTTAAAAACATACTGTTGATACCAGGTACAAAGTTCAGTTATAGCAACTTAAAGAAGGCGATCAATGCTTTTTAGTATGAAGAGAAACAGCTGACTGTGTATCAGGAATGTAAGTGCCTGCTCTTGCTCATTTGGCATATATCTGGCTTTTAAACAACACACAAAAATACAAGACCATAAATGTAAAGTGTGAGGTTGACAGCATGAATAAAAGCTAGAATCCCAAATGATCAAGGACAAAAAGATTTATTTCTGTATAAATGTTAATCTACAAATCTGATAGGACCACTTCAAATGATTTTGAATGCATTACAAAACATATTCAAACCACCCAAAAATGACATTTTTTAAATGTTCTTTCACATCACCATAAACTAACCACAACTGAGGTGCTTTTTATTCATGTGTGTGTTTTGTTGTCTGAGAACAACATAAGTTTATCCCTGCCATATACCTCTGCATTAGTAACATCCAAGTCCATCTAAATAAGTACCAGCATTGCACAAAGCTGCCATAACTCACCCAAGTGAGTCACCAGGGCCTCTTGCAGGGTTTTACATACTGGACTGTGCATATAGTGTTCTTACATGCGTAGCTTCAGAGGAGAGCTGTTAATAACAGTGTGCATTACCTCCTGCCTATAGCAGAAACACTGGACCAGGAAATGTGACACTTTAGGTAGTACGAATGAAGATTGATTGAGGAAAAAAAGTCAAAATTAGTTAATTGGACTCTTGTTAGGGGCTCCTGGAGTTTAATAAATCCTATAAGAGAAATAGTTGTGAATATAGATTTTTGGTTTAATCTGGAGAGCATGCTAAAAATAATAAATCAGTCCGCTGGGGGTGAATATCTCAGTCTCTTGAGCTCCAAAGGACCTGAGCCTTTCATGCCCTCTGTCATGGCCAAACAGACCAGTTAAAGCAAATGCAGCACTAATCCAATCCCACCTCCAGTTGCATTTGCTGGACTGGAAGGGCTCTGTGGCCAGAAGGACTGGGAATCCACCAGCAATAGGCTGGATCAACGAGGGATCAGTTGGGATCAGTATGGAGGCCGAGGCTGTGCATCTGCAGACGGCAGAGTGGTGCGATACCAGTCTGCAAACAGCAACTGACTGGTATATGGATTTTCCAGTTACATACATATAATAGCACCGTACAAGAATTTGCTGCTAGTTGATGTAGCACCTTGTTGCCACAGCAACACTTGTTGTCCTTGAACAGCTTATGAAAGTACAAGTACACATCCAACATTTGAATTTTCATTTAAGTATAGCTCATAATAATAAGATAATGCCACATAGTAGTTTTAGTCAAATAATAAACCTATTGACATTAATATTATATTGCTTTATAATATCCATTTTATTTTTCCCTAAAAATCATTCAGAATCCAATTCCTCCCTCTGCCAGTGAAGCTTCTGACCAGCAGAGGGAAACATGCATCTCAATGTGCCGGCAGTGATGAGAATTACTCCCTGAACTTTTTTCCCTTCTGTACAAAGTAAATCTGAAATCCTCCTCAGGACAAGCTACCATGAGGTAAACATTACACTCAGATTAATGCATTCACTGTTGTCTAAAAGAGCTTTTTGTCATCTATGATTTCAGATCCCCTGAGGTCACGTTTAATTGGAGGAACGCACTTTCCTGCCTTTGAGAGGCTGGGGAGGCCTGAAGTTGTTTTCCATGCGTATCCTCTGATCCTCTTCCTCTCCAGTGAACAGAAGCATCCTAAACTTGCCCAGCTGCATTGAGATAGACAAAAAGACAGAATTTTCCTTTAATATTTTTGCACACAAATTGATTTTGATTTTGTTAGTTTGTTTTGTTATAAGAGGTTCTGTGCACAACCTTTACACATGGGTGAACTTATTGTCAACTAATCGCATGAAAACAAACAAAAAAAAAAAAACAAAACAAAAAAAACAAAACCAACAATACATTGGTCCATTTCTGACTTCCCTGCCCTGATCCCATTTCTTCCTACATTTAAACAAATAATCAAATGTATGCTTTCATTTAAAAAACAAACAAACAAACAAACAAAGGTTCAGTAATTAGGAAAAAACAAACAAACAAAAAAAAAAAAAACAGCAACAACAACAACAACTGGGATTTGTAGTTTTGGCAAACAGGAATATTTAATGCATTTGTTGGGGACTATTTTCAGCAGCAGTTTTGTTTTTGTCTCTAGTGAGTATTTATGGCAGCAGGATGGTGCATGTAGGATCGTCTCAGAACAAACTTCAATGCCCATTTTCTTTGTTATGAAGAAACATGTTTTTCCGTGCAGTGATGTAACTCACTGATGTGTTTTTAATAGTTTTGGAGCTTTAGGGCACAGAGGAATAAGCTATATCAGGCTGGCTATTCAGACAATACTTGTTAGTAGGAACAATTCATTTTTATTTCATGTTCTTTTAATGGCATTTGCTGAAAAGAAAAAAATATTGATTATTACCACTTAACTCGAACTATCTACGCACTGCACCCTACTTTCTGTGTTTCCCTTTAAGCTTTCTTATTATATGGGGTTATGAAAAACAAAATATCCTGTTACATAAGGGCTTTTCCCTGTTGGGTCTCCATGCAAGCATTTCTCAATTAAAGCCCTGTACCCATGCAGTCATCCATCCATCAGGATAATCAGCTGGAGGGGATCAAAGGCTTGAGGCCTTGAGTCACAGGCTGTGGGGCCAGTTGCCTAGCTTACCCCCCCCCCCAGATAAGCTACAGACAGATCGTTCATGACTACACCCAAGGTGCCGCCATCATTAGAACTCCTGGTTTCTCATGTACAGTCCAGGAGTTAAATATGGAGAACTAGACTAGAAAAGATCAACAAAGTGAGAGGGTATAATCCAAAGGCTGGCAGCAGTCGCCAGAGGGCCGGCTCACAGGGAGACCTGGAAGGCATGTGCTGCACACATCCAGTTAGTCAGCTTAACTTGTCAACAACCTGGGGTTATCAGACCTAAACTTCCTGATTAAGTTCAGTGCAAAGAGGGGTGGATAAAAACCAAGTAAACCTTAACAGGGCATTCCCCATGAATGATGTGCTGCTCCTTGTAGTGGCATCTAAATATAGCATCATAGTTAAGCCAAACATTTCTGGAAATGCAACAGCACCCTACACCTACTAAAACATTGGCATACTGATCCAGTGATGCTGAACCGTGGTTTGACAACAAAGGAGGCAGTGGATCCCCGGAGCGTAGTGGAGCATAGCCATTAACATTACACAGGCCAGGAAGCATGGATTTCACAACTGACTGATCAACTGCAGCATCCGTGCCTTAACCTCCACTCACTTGCAAATAAAACATGACATTTCTGACTCAGTATAACTGGATGCGATGCCGTCATTTAAGCCTAAAAAGTTATTTCAGACAGCCCTCCTTTAAATTTGAAAACTGCACAGTCTGAGAAAAGAACACATTCGAGATGAAAAATATGGGTGCAGATTACTGGCTTCAGCAGATGTGTGAAACTAATCAGCAGTACTCTAGAACTGAACATACACATGCAGTCAGCAATCAAGAAAACATAATGCAAGTTTTGTTTATCATTGTTATTTTAGATATTAATATCTTTTTGAATAATGACCAAACATCTCTCATTCACATTGAATGAGAGATGTTTGGCTTGCATACTACTGGTGCTGTAATTGTCTATTTTTAAGCCGTGATGGTAGATCTAGTCTTAGTCAAGGCAAATATAGATCTTGTTCCAGAGAGGTTTCCCCACTACTGGCTTGCAGGCAAGATAGCTGGATTGGGGTTAATGCTGTGTATGAATGGCTGTGCTGCATGATCTAAAACAGTATATAACTATTACAGATATGAGTTTTTGTGTGTTGATTAATCGAAATAAACAGATCGTTCTCTCAGCAATCAAAAATATGCAAGAAATGCATTTTTTGGCCTTCTCAATTTTTAGACATCACTTTAACATCACTATATTTTATGTTACTTTGTATGTTGGAGAGCTTTCGTAGATGTACTAAAGGTTTCCAACAGTATGTTCAGTGCTGCACATGCTGGAAATCTGGCATAAATTGTGGTCAAAGGAACATGTTTACAAAGTGTACCTGTTTTTCAGATACAATGATTGGCTCCTTCAGGACAATCCAGGTGACACTCTCATGTAGGGGGGGCGTGGTCAGAGATCCCAGGTAGGTCCAGTAGTGTAGGCTGCTGGGTAGGAGGCACTTGGGGTTGAAACCTTTGAAATCTGTGACGCTGCCCTGTAATGGAAAGAACATACACAATAGCTTTTATATTACTGCAATAATGCTAAGGGCAGGTCATAAAAAACACACACACAAAAAAAAAAAAGTACATGTAATAAAATCCAGTATCAATCAACACCAGTACCGACCTTAAATTTCACCATGTACAGAGCGTCTGTGATCATGTGGAGCCATCTGTGGTCGTCACCTGTCTTTCATGACAGACAGATTGTTTTTGAAATTTGATCTGTGACTTTTGGAGAGACTCCACACCAAATATTTTTGTATATACACTTGGTATAATCTACAAAATATCACAACATTTTATGTCTGCTTCTGTTCCAAGTTGGCATGACTTAAAAACAGCTGTTACGCTGATACCAAACGGAGAGGAAAGGGGGCACATCGACAGAGAACAGAACTGCGCTTAAGAGAAAAATCTTACTTCTAAAAAGATGCCGAGGACAGCGAGGCCATCGGGAGCTGTTGCCGCCTCCCCAAACGTCTTGTACTTGACAGCGTTCCAGTGTACTAAGTGAAGCTAGAGGGCAGAAACAGGAAGAAAGAGGGAAACGGAAAGCAAAAAAAAAAAATCTCAAATATCTATTTGAATTTTATTGATTTTTATTTTATCATTTTATTGGGACATTCATCGTTGTAACATTTACCTTACTACACATCTCAAAAAGTGGGTTAGTCTGCATTTTGTTTATCAGACAATCACACACTGAAGTATTAAATCCCAAAACATTCACCTCAGATGCGAAGCTATTCCCTGCAACAGTGTGCTCCGAGCCATGGCAGCCCTTTCCGCCCCAGTGGAAGTGAAACTGTTTCAAGTTGTAGGGGTTGTCAAGAGGGCCTCCCTGGATCACTGTCGAAGATGAGGAGAAAAAAAAATTAATAAAAAAAATGGTTCAGCATTCACACACACACACACACACACACCCACCCCAACACCACTACTCTCTGTGGGTGTTGTGCTGGACAAACTGTATTCCAGCAGAACGCTGCACACAGGAAGCCTGTGTGTAGCATCATCCAAACAGCTTGGTACCACTCAAGAACACACACACTCACACCACAGGATGAGTCAACCTGTTAACACCCAGCACACCTTTAAATCAAATTTCTCACTCAAAGCTGAGACATGAGCATGAACAGACAGACTGACTGCTTCACCAATAAATCTATCATTAGACCTATGATGAACAGGCTGTAGGTTGAGATGAAAATAGCCAATCCTCTACCATATAAAACTATGCTTAAGCTACTTTAGGTTTTATTTAACTTTCTATTCAGGTCCATTTGCATACAAGTATTCATAGAAACTTTAATGTATGTCTTGATGAAATTCAGTCCATTATTAGGAGAGTGCAGACTGGTTTCTGAGCCTGCGAGCTTCACTGCTGGGCAGGGACTTCTAGGCTAATCTGATTGTTATTCATTGTGATGCTGCTGACATCTTTCTGACAACACAGGCCACACCAGTCCAGGTCAGATTAACCAGGCAGGCAGGAATGGCACAAAAAGCAAAGCAGTTATCTCATTCATCTTACAATATAAATGTAGCACAACCACAAGAACAATGGGATCTTAGTGGCTATATTTAGACATGCTAGACTATTTACTGTCAGTGAGGTGATTAGTAGATATCCACTTATAAATAACGGATGTGCTGAATCAGGAATTTAAGAGCGATAATAATGGTGTAAATCCTGACCATGGTAATGCTGACATTAATGACTGCCTGAGGAAAGAAATGTTAATTACAATTATGACTGGTCCTGTTATGCTTATTATTCTAACATTCAAAGCCGTACTACTGATATGCGATCATCACATGTAGTCATCAGTTGAATAGTGTACACCGGCCTTAAATGAACTTTTCTTTACATTAGCCCATCCTTATTTTCTTACCAAAACAACGGTGACACAGAACACAGTCATTTGAGAATATATGCTTGTGTCGCTATACCAAGACCCAGCCATAAGCTGCAAACTGACAACAGCAGGTTTAGAGGATTTGTGCACGTCATTTGAACTATGAAAAAATGCTGAGGAAGTGCATTAGTTTCCCTACAGGTCTCCTGTGTCATTAATGATTTTAACAGATAGCTGCTTTCTTACTCTGTGGAAACTGAGCCAAAACAGCCCAACATTTCTGAGCTTATCATTCATGTTAATGATGGGGTGGTTAACATGGATCCACCCAGTGATAAAAGCAAACAGGGTCATAATAACCACTGAGAACAGCTAAGTTTATTATATCTCTTGTCCAGCAGACAGATGCTCATACAGTTAACTGCTGGATAAACTTTCCTGCAGCATAATCAGAGGCTTACTGTCAACCTTTGATTACGGGCAGTTATGCACATGGTTTGCACTTTTGGAAAATTAAGGTAATCCCAATTTTCAAGTCTATGTTTCTTGAAAGTAAACTTTCAGCACAGACTTCCACTGCGTGTGGCTGACGGCAGATATCAGAGCTATGAATATCCATAAACTATGACCTCTGTCAATAATTTCATGAAAGTCAATCTTTTAATACAACCATAGATCATGTCATAATCAATGCCAATATTCCCTGCCAAGACATTACTCTCCACATCTCCACACACACCACACTCACCACACACTCCACATCTAGACCTAACTGTGACCCGCGTGGATTGTGCAGATCTAAAACCACAACATATTTGAACTGGTTGGTTGGTTTGTTTGAAACTATGACATTTCCTTTCTTTACAAAATATAATAAAAACAGTCAACTTCTAGAAAATGAAGTAACAAGTAAATAAGTCAAGACCACCTTTTTCTTACCTGAACGGTCATCCAAGTCCTCAAACTCCACAACTACAGAGTGTCCATTATTAGCAATGTTGACGGAGGTACACTGATCGTAGTTTAGGACAATCGGGCCCAGACCGGGGTCATGTGAAGCCTGATGAGGTATGATGTCAATGGGAGACTGCCGGTTCCCCTGAGCAACAGGGTAGTTTTTGTGCCATACAGAAGGACCTGGACATATGAGATAGTAAGCAATAAACAGACCAGACTTTAATATATCCAGTACTGCACTTATGTCTCCAGCTTCATCGCTTAAACAAATAAGAGATTTCACTTGGTCACGTTGAAAGAAAAATATTAAATTCTTGCTAAAGCAGCATACTAAAATAAAGTTTTAGTTTTTAATTTAACACAGCTAATTTGGTTGTAACTACTGTGAACCAGTAACTGATAAAAGGTCTGTTTCCCCAAGGAACAACTTTAAGTGGGACCATCAGCATAAAATTGAAACATCAAGAATCAAAAAGAAATCAATGAAAAATGACTCAAGACTGTCTTGTTTAGTGATCACACTAAATGATGCTACATAGTAAATAGAGCAACTTGTCTTGAAGACAATCTCACGAAGCACTTTATTAGGAACACCATACTAACACTGGGCAGGGCCACCCTTTGCTGTCAAAACCACCTCGGTTCTTAAGTGCATAGATTCCACAAGATGTTGGAAACGTTACCTTGAGAATCTGATCCAAGTTGACATGATTGCATACATTATATCTGCAGATATGTCAGCTGCACATTCATGACACTCTCATGCTGAAAGATAGATGGTAAATTGTGGCCATAAAGGGCAGAGAATGATGTATCGGTGCCCAAAGTGTGCCAAGAAAACATTCCCCACACCAATACACCACCAGCAGCCTGCATTTGAAACAAAGCAGGTTGTCTCCATGGATTCATGTTGTTGAAGCCAGAAATCTCAGCAGAAATCCAGGTCCATCAGATCAGGTTATGCATTTCCAGTCTTCAACTGTCCAGTTTTGGCCTGTGCCCACAGCAGCCTCAGATTTCACTTCTTGGCTGACAGCATTGAGAGAACCAGTCTGGACTCCTCTGACCTCTCTCATCAACAAAGTTTCCTCTGCAGAACTGCTGCTCACTGGATGTCTTTTGTACCATTCTGAATGCCATGGTCAAATATCACTATGATCATATTTTTCCCCATTCGGATGTTTGATGTGAAAATGAACTGATTTCATGCATTGCACTGCTGCCACATGATTGTACGATTAGATAGTCTATTTGCATGAATAAGCAGGTGTACAGGGTTTCCTAATGAAGTGCTCACTGAGCGTATATTTGGCCGTGGCCCTGATGCAATGAAATGTTTTTCACTCAAGGGACCAGGACAAATCTAGTGGAAAGTCAGGTTGAGGTTACAGCAGTCATCCCTTTAAGCACGGGACTAATCTCGCATTAACAGCCATTTTAACACCCATTACGTTCCTCTTCTGGATAAAACACGCAGTGCCCCAAGCAAAACAAAATAACAGCAAACATTTATTGTGTATATTGAGGGTTAATTGCCTCCACTGTATGGATGCGAAAGCAGTAGGCTACAGACTCCTCCTGGAGCTGGGGATGCTGTAGGATCTTACCGTCCTCTTTTCCATATCCCCAGTGATTCCCTGTCATTGTCCCTGTTTGTGGATCCAAGTCTAACCGAGCTGTCGTTGTCTGACTCCTTCACTCCGGTGCGCACGTGGGGGGACGGACACGGACATCAGTGAGTGCAGCAATTGATGAAGTTTATGTAGTGGCCAAAGGGGAAGGGCAATTATCCCTTTCTTGACACGCCTCTCCACGCCCACGCACACACACACACACACACACACACGCACACACACACACACACACACACACACACACACACACACACACACACACACACACAGTCCACCTGTCGAGGGTTTTAAAACTAATCTTGTCCAGTGTCACCGCATTAGGTCGGCCCTTTTTGGATTTAATGATTAGATATGATTACAATACGATTATATAAATATACCTAATGTCTTTTGCTATTCTAAAGTGATAATGACTGTTTATATACCTTACCTTTATTCAGGTGAACCATTTAGATAGAAATTTTCAAGAGACGACAGAATGTAGCATAAAAAATAAATAAAAACAATTCATAAACAGATGGCCCGGAAGAGAAAAAACATAGTAACACAAAATACAATATCGTAATAATAAAAATAACACCCCTCAGCAATTTAAACAATTGCATTGTGTTTGGGAAAATTTAAACATAGGATCAGTGTTTTATGAAGAGGATCAGTCTCTCCTCATGAGAACTTAATTAAAGGCTACAAATGCATGTGTAATGGTCCCATAAACAGACATGCTGTGCATATCTGAAACATGATCAGCCCTAATACTGTTTTAAATTTTCAATACTAAAATGTACAAATACAACAACAAAAAGTCATGTAAAAAGGTCAGGTAAAAGTACAAAAATATTAGCATCAAAAACTAATTAAAATACCAAAAGTAAAAGTACTTATTTGAATTGCCCGTTTCATTGTGTTATTATTTAATGTTGCAGTTGGTTTCGATGACGCTGATTTTACTTGTCGGTAACTTGTGAATTTTGATGCAGCTATGTATTTTATATGCGTATATTTTGATGTATATGGACAAAGAGGACTGCACTCCTCTTATTTCATATATAAAAAAGTAATATATCATACACGTCTTGACAATTCAATTATCCATCATACATGTATTGGTATCAGTATCACGGTGAGAATTTGTATCGAAAGTGCGAGTCTGACGTTTTGTGACGGCATGTTTGTGTCGAATCTACCCTCTGAGAGAGTTAAAATGCGTCCATAGACATCACTCTTTGGAAGGAAACCATGGCAGCCACCAAAACCTCCAAAGAACAGAAATACGACAGGCAGCTCAGGTACGTTTAAACAACACCGTGCACTTGTAAAATAACTTTTTCGTTCCTTTAGCTAAATGTTATAAGTATTTTATGTGAGCGGTCACAGCAGAAACATTGGCGAAGCATAAATGCTAATGTTAGCTAGCGTTAGCTTGCTGTGTGCGTTGTAGATATAACAGCTAACACTTAAACTTAAAGGTTAATGCGATGGTTAACGAATGCTCTGTTTTTCTGCTTGGTGTTGCTAGCCCATCAAAACTGCCAACTTGTCTAATAGCAACCTTATTAACTGCATTTGATGGTTAAACGAGTGTAACAATAAGGAAATGAATGGCATTGAAGCTATCATACCAGTAGCTAAGTCAGTGGCTCACTGTGTTTTTGCAGCAGTTGAGGATGAATGTTATCACTAGATGGCAACACACTTGTTATGTTGTGTGCTTTCAGACTGTGGGGTGACCATGGTCAGGAAACACTGGAGAATGCACATGTTTGTCTCATCAACGCCACAGCAACTGGAACAGAGATACTGAAGAACCTGGTACTTCCAGGTACACAGACGTGGCTCTCTGTGTTGGTGATAATGCTGCAGGTGCTGATGAAAGCATCACACTGATTGAATTAATCGATCTCCTTGTCAGGTATTGGAGCATTCACCATAGTTGATGGACACACAGTTTCTGGGGAAGATGTTGGAAACAAGTAAGACAGCAGTATTTCTTTGAAAGTTGAGCTAAGCTTAAGTTGTATGTGTTGGTTTTACTTCTGTATTCATGGACCTCTTGATCTTGTCTTGCAGCTTTTTCCTTAGCAAAAACAGTATCGGAAAGGTATGCTATGCTGAAATTAAGAAATTTATGTTTTATGATCATATCTATTTTTCTGTCACAAGTGCACACACACAGATACACACAGACACAGCATGTCCCATTTTCCCATCATATTGTTGCATCTTTTCTTCATGGTGGTTCATAGTTATTTTTAATATTCTTCTTAGGACAAAAAAGTGCAATGCATCTGCATATTTGTATGAGCCCTGACCTTAATTTTTATGTTGCAGAACAGAGCACAGGCTGCCACTGAGCTGCTACAAGAACTTAACAGTGATGTCTCTGGAAACTTTGTCGAAGAGGTTGGTATTGTTTAGGGCTTGGCAAGGTGCCACAGATGTCTTGACAATGGGTATTTTGTTTCAGTGGGAAATGAAAACACACCAATAGTTTATATTATCATACCAATGACAATATTTACATCACACTAATCAAATTAAAATGGTGAAAAATGCTTTACAAGGTAAAACAGACGCAAGACCTAGTGCCTATACATTACAACAATAACAGAGGTCAAAAATACTAAGTTTTCATTATATAAAAATAGGTCTATGGATACAACATTTGCTGTGTAAATGTAATGAACAGTATTATCACTCTTGTATTTGCTATTATTCTTATAGAGTCCAGACAAACTTCTGGACAATGATCCAGAGTTTTTCCACAGGTTTACCATCGTCATCGGTGTCCATTTGCCAGAAAGGTATGAGATATAGTTCATCTTTACTCTCCACCTTTATTGTAACAAGAGTTTGTATGAAATTATGTATGAACTTTGTGTTTCTGACCCAGCCAAAGTTTACTTAACATGTTGCTGTTCAGTCAGTGTAATAGATGATTGAGATGAGATTTCTACCTTTTTAATTTTTTAGAAAATGTTTACTTTGTCTTTTGCAGAAACTGGTTTTGAATTGGCTTGATGATCTACTTTTTTTTCTTTTCTGTCCAATAAACTTGTCAAATTATCTTTTAAATTCAACAGCACATGTTTGAGGCTCGGCTCAGTTCTGTGGAGTGCTTCGGTACCTTTCCTAGTCTGTAAAACCTACGGCCTCATCGGCTACATGAGACTAGTGCTGCGGGAGCACACAGGTTAGTTCCCCAGTGTTTGTCTATAATTCCACTTGATTTCTTAATATGATAAAATAATAACTTTTATTTTTAACTTTTATTGGTATTACATTTTTACATGTGTAATGGTTTCAGTTTACAGTGAAGCATGTACCCTTGAAATTGCTAATTTAGCACTACAATTATAAAATGCCATAAATTACCCTCTCATTTACATGAGATTATCAAAATCTCATCTGCTTGTATCCACCCTTTTTGGTACATATCTATTTCACTGTGGCTCATAGTTTGTAGGTATAATTTGAAATTGTTTAATATATATTGACCTTTTAACACCTCTCTTCAGTGATTGAATCTCACCCAGACAATGCTTTGGAGGACCTGAGGTTAGACCAGCCTTTTGGCGAATTTAAGAACCACATTCAGTCCTATGACCTTGATAGCATGGAGAAGAAGGTGTGTAGATTGGAATCAGCACATGTGTGTTTGCACATTAGTCATTTTAAACCTGGCCAGCTTTACACAACTGATATTGTTCCTATTTCATTTAACCTCTAGGATCACAGTCACACACCATGGGTTATCATTCTTGCCAAATACCTGGAGAAATGGCTTAGTGAGGTACAGTACATTTTCTGTGGTATATCTCTTTGACAAAGACTCCATCACTGATATTCATTCTTGAGTGTTTTTGTTAGTGTTGCTATACATTAAAATGTCTCTGCTCTTGTCTTTGTAGCATAACGGTCAGCCACCAAAAAATTACAAGGAGAAAGAGGCTTTCAGACAGTTTATTCGGGAAGGTATCTGTTGACTTCTTGATGCGGTTGCTTATAAATTCAGTGACTTGGCTGTGTAACTGTAACTTATCTGTGATTTATTTTTATTTTGTGTTCCTTCAGGGATCCTGAAGAATGAGAATGGTGTCCCAGAGGATGAAGAAAATTTTGAGGAAGCTATTAAGAATGTCAACACTGCTTTAAATCCAACCAAGGTGCCAGATCTAAAATGCTCTTGGTTTTTTAGGAGTTATCTTGTGTCACATATCTGACATTTAAACCTCCAATCAGTCTGTTTTCTATGCCGTTATAGTCAACAGTTAAGTCTAGTGAGAGTCCTCATGTAATGTCTCTTGTTTTCTGCAGATTCCTAATACTGTTGAAGACCTCTTCAATAGTGAGCAGTGTAACAACATCACATCACAGGTTTTGACTTTTTTCCAAAGACAATTCTATTAAAAAATAGGCACAGTTGTAACATAGTTTCAAATAAGTAGTTATTGGGATTATTGCTGTTTTAAACCGTGGTGTGTATTCTGTTCATATGTGTTTATCAGTCTGCGGCCTTTTGGGTGATGCTCAGAGCCGTCAAGGAGTTTGTTCACAATGAAGGCAGTGGAAGCCTACCTGTACGGGGAACCATCCCAGATATGATCGCAGACTCTCAGAAGTTTATCAGCCTTCAAAATGTGTAAGTGTGGACTATGTGAGTGCTGGCTGTACAGATACATTTGTAGAGGGCAAAAGTTCTTTGTAGTGAAACATTGTGTCCAGTTCTATATTTCTTTTTCTAACAGTGCATGATTTAGTAATTTGGCTTTGTGGGTGTGTTGCTATTCATTTGTTTTTCTTTTATTTCAGTTACAGGGAAAAGGCCATGCAGGACGCATCAGCTGTTTCTAAGCATGTGGAATGTCTAATGCAGTCTGTTGGAAAGGTATGCTGTAATCCCATGTCCTTACTGAATAACTGTGAAGGTTAGTCAGAAGAAAAGTTTGAATTTAGGGCTCAATCAAATCAATTAATTCCTTATGTGTTAAAAACAAATGTCAGCTAAGTCTCATGAATTAGCTGTGATTTGGAAACATTAGATTTGATGTATCACAATATGCGCTCTAAAACCAATGTCACAATATTGCTGTTTTTGTGATGATCAAAGGCTAACAGTTAGCTGCTTAAAAGCCTGATATAGGCAAATCTATCCAAATAGTGGTCAAGAGAAAGTATGTGACACGCCCCACAAAAAAGCACTTACAAGAAAGTGACTAAACGCTATCCATGCATTGGGAATATATTCGTAGAGCTTACAACTGTATCCAGGCAAGTTCAACCAACTTGAGAAGCCACTTTGTGATTTAAGTGTGCAAACCTACAACAAAAAGCTGTTATTATTTCAGCAGGAAATCAGATTTTTCCTTTGTGTCCTCATTGTGACTTTTGAATGAGTCTTGCATGCAGCCATGTTAGGATTAAATTATAAAAGCATTAATACATTTTGCCCTGACATACTCGATAAATGCATTTGATTGAAAGGGATTTCCTCTGAAATTACTTTCAATTTTCCTTTCGACAAGCCACCAGAGAGCATCTCTGAAAAGGACATCAAACTGCTCTGTAAGTAACCTACTCTTTAACTAACAACCCTAACCCTCACAGTTTTATGTTCAGTGGGCATATTTGCATCCACAAATCCAAACATATTTTTTTGAGTTATTATTTAGTATTGAGATGAGGAGTTGTGGTTTCAGTGTGTCACAGTTTTATTATATTTTACATTATAAAATAAGTTATGTAACACAAGGAAATTGGTTATAATGTCTATAATGCAGCCTTTAATTAAACACTGTAATTAGTGTAATATCCATGTAAACATACCTACTGGGGATCTGTTTTGACATGCATGTATTTACAAACGTTGGCATAATGTCTGAATTGAAACTGCCTTACGCTATATGTACATCAGTTTAATATTGTTAATAATTTTGAAGCACTTGAAAGCATCACATCTGTAATGTGTTGCCATCATGCACCAGTACTGCCTTTTTTAACTTCAATTTTTTATTTCTCTTGTAATGCTCTCACTGTGTGATCCCTCTGGACTCGAGAGAACTCAGTCTGCATATGAGTGTAGCATAATCTGTTACATTGTAGGTTTTTGCAGCACCTGCAATAGGTTTATTCCTAACTGTGGGCATTTATGTTGGTGTCTAGGTAAGAATGCATCCTTTCTGAGGGTGGTGCACTGCAGATCTCTGGCTGAAGAATATGGTGTTGATTCAGTAAATAAAGATGAAATCAGTAAGTTGAAGATAAATTTCCTTTCTGACTGTCTGGTGTTGTTGAGTTTGAGCTTACTCTAGTACCATTTTCTATTCTGCTAAGCATTAAGTATATTCACTGATTAGCAAAAGCTGTGTCTTCTCAGCCTCATGCATGGACAGTCCAGATAGCGAGATGGTCTTCTACCTCATGCTTCGCGCCGTTGATCGCTTCTATCAGCAGCACTCCCGTTACCCAGGTACGTCCAAGGTTCATACAGGTTTTTTCTTTAACAAACTGAAGATGTGAAACACTTCCATGGAGCTGACTTGAACTGTCACAATCAGATCAGATGTTTCTTTGTGTTTAATAAAATCTGTGGCTGATTTTTGTACAAGGCAGAACTGTTCAGTCATTGACAGACCATATCAACTTGGGCCATCTATAGGGAAAGAAAATAGTAGCGTCTTGAAATTTAAATCCACGTTTATGTGTATGCCTACAAGTAAAAGAAAGTAGTACCTGCTACAACTTTAAAATGCTTGTGCAGCCAGCAGTCAATGAGCATTACAGCTGCAGACTTTTTATAGCTCCTTTTACATTTAACATTTATATCACTTTTTGGGTCTTTAGATTATATTGGTAGAGCTGCTTTGTCAGTATCAATATAATAAGGTCATCATCCCTAGAACTCTGAGGAGAGCACCATGATGTTAAAATGGGCTGGCAGGTGTATCAAGAGGTCTTATTTTTCTTCTGAAGAATTATTTAGATCATTCCTCCTGATACCATGTCTTCTCTTACCAGGAGTTTACAACTACCAGGTTGAGGAAGACATCAGCAAACTGAAGCTCTGTGTAAACAGCCTACTGCAGGAGTACAGCCTCAATATCAACATCAAAGACGACTATATACATGAGTTGTAAGTCATTGTCACTGCTGAATTCACTGTTTAGAATGATTGTTAAAGACTGTGCCAAATGATGATTAATTTTTTCCCATACACCCTTTTCATATCCTGCAGCTGTCGGTATGGTGCGGCAGAGCCACACACAGTTGCAGCATTTTTGGGAGGTAAAGTTATAGGCCTCTTCCGAAATCAATTGATCCTTGATTCATATGTGCGGCATATCTCACTCAAACAGAGGTAATAAATCAAAGCTGTCTAATAACATTTGTCAATATGTTTGTTTAGGATCAGCTGCTCAAGAGGCCATCAAGATCATCAGCCACCAGTTTGTGCCCTTTAGCAACACTTTCATTTACAACGCAATGTCACAGACCTCTGCCACCTTTCATTTGTGAATTTGGTTACTAATCCTGGGTTTTCTTACAGAAATATCAGAGAAAATAGGGCAAGAATGAAAGATGCATTTACTGAACCAACTGGCTTTAATAAATCTGGAAACTGCACATGATGATTTGAAAGAGGGGAGGAAGAAGAAAGCATTTTTATCACTTTTGAATGGGATTACTTCATAAATGTGTGCACTTAGAAATATTTGTCATGGAGATCATAAGTCAGGACTCTTTAGACTAAATGCTCTGTTGATCATAAAGCCTTGCCGTCTTCTCAGAAGTTCCTGAAGGGGAATAAGTCAGGTAGCACCCACAGAGGATTTCTTTAAACATTTTCTTTGGTGTTCAGCAGACATCATTAAACAAAGCTGGAAATGAAACTAGCAAATTCAAAACATTCATGTGTAATATTTCCATTTGTGAAACCCCACATTTATGGATGGTATATTACAATGTAGCACCACTTTGTCTACTTTAATCACAGCTGTCTCTTTATTGTATTGTGTTTGGAACAAGGTGGGAGATTTTTGGTTAAAATGAACAAATGTTGTGTTTTAACTCCCATGCACTGCTATAAAAACATTCAACATTTTACCTGAATTTGTTTACTTTTATATTAAGGTGAAGTGAACACATACTCAGCACACATCTTTTACAGTGTGCAAAAATGTCGATGTCCCTAGTGTCTGCCAACTGCTGGGCTGGGACAGTTTCACCACTGTTCAGATACACTCTTGTAAACACACAGAGTTAAGCGACCGTGATTTGTTGACTTGTTTAAAAGTTGAAACAAGGATTACACAGTTATTTAGCCAGAATAAATGTTAGCTGACAAGCATGTGAGCTTCTTCAGAGGCCCTTAATGTGACTTGCCCCCTGGCAGGATTATGATGACTTTTGTTGGGAGTGGATGACATTATTTAATCCAACACTAGAGGGCACTCTTCCGTGTTTTACCATTCCCAGGTCATCATGTAGTTTCAAGTTTATTTTGCATACTCTGTTCAGTGACCAATTCCTAAATGCTGACCCTTGCATTTGACGTAGTTAGATGTAGGATGTTAACAAAAAACTAGTAATGTTAATTATCAACCAGTATGTTGTTTCTCAGTAGCTCTCTCTGAGATGCCTAGTGTATATAGAGGACACTGGTCTTCTTAGTGGTGAGTAAGATCCAACATGCAGCACAGAACCCTGTCAGAGAATGATGATGTGAGGGTCATTGTGATGTAACTGTTGGGCAGAGTGAAGATTCTCATTTGTTGTTTTCTCCCCAGACTGGCTGAATGGAAATTTGCCCTCAGCAGATCTTTTCCTTGTAAGACTCTATCCAACCCCCACCCCCCGACACACACACACACACACACCCCCAGCTCTCCCCATACAGCTATCTGTCTCACATTCTCACACACATACACACCCTCCGTCTCTGTTTGTCTGAGAGGGATAGAGCAGGTTGCCAAGAAGTACTCTGGCCATTTCCTAAATTAAGATTTTGTCCACTGCCTCTTAAAGATTATCACGTGTCCATCCATCCACCCACTGGCTCTGAAGATTATCATGTAGCAGTGCCAGGTTTATTAGTCCAAACCAGACAGTTTCCTTTTTGTGAAGTTAGAGACGCAGCCCACTAACTACTGGAAGAAAAAAAAGAGCTTAATCTCAGATAAATACTGTGCATAATGTCATCAGAGGTAGAATAGTTGTTCACATAATATGCCTCTGGAACTGTTACCTATGCTGTATGGGTTTTAAACCTGCCAGGTTTTTCCCTTTCTACCAGGTCTGTCTATGTCCACCTCTTAAATAAAGAAAGCACTGAGGGAGTAGGATTTCCTTTAAAACAAATTAAACATTCACATTACTTTAACTGTGTGCTATTGGTAATTTTATCTCTTAATTGCATGAGACATTTATTTTGAGAAGATGAGTTTCATTCTTTTGAGAGTGCGAATTGGAAAACACCACTTCTATAGCAGTTTTTTTAGGGGTATTAAAGCATAGTTCCGAATTTATTCTGGTTTTAAGACCCTTTGAACTCCAAAACATAATTTAGTTAACTTTTATACTATTGAACATCTACTCCATCTCTTCTCCTACCAACAATGAGACTTAACAGTATAGACAGGGCATGAGTTCATGGTCACTAGTATCTTAGTGTGTGTTCGGACAATTTGTATACAGCTGTGTCAACATCTTAACATTCAGTGCTGACCATTTAAACGCACCAGGATGGCTTCAGCTATTGCTCTGTATCTGCTTCGTACTATCAGAGCTTGAGTGTTTCCTTGTAACCTAACACCCTCACTCTTATAAGGACGGTTACTGACATGAGATAACAGAGAAACAAACAGGCCAAGGAGACCTTTTTGTCTCCCAACAATTTATGGTGCAGCCCCACACCCTTTCTTGCTTTTTTCCTTGTTTAATTAAGTGTTCACATGGTAATGGTACGCTTCAGAGAAGGCACTGCAAAAAGTTTGAAAAATTAAAGAGAAAATAATTAGATTTAAAGAGGGAAAAGTAAAAGCAGTATGTTTTACTGTATTAAGTTCAAAAAACAAAACAAATGCCAACACAACTGATTCATAGTTACATTAGAATTAACTTTATAATTAAATAATTGCAGTAATCTAACATCAGAATTGTTGCTGAACCAATTGAAATGATGAAATGTGAATTATCTGATGTGTGTTGGTTTTACATGCTCATTTATGCTCACTTTATTATTGTTTTTCTAACTAATTAAAATATCAATACAATTAAACCATACCAGTGTCAGCAGCTTCCAAGAAAAATCATACATAAATCCAGCAGTACCTGTGATGAATGACTAGTGTAAATCATAGTTGTTTTTTTTAACGGTGCACAGGGTAGTTGTGTCATTACTTACAAAATGAGTGAATCAGCTACAGCAGTTGAGCTCACTAAGCAATCTTAATTTTGTTGTTTCTCACTCACCTGGTAATCTGATTGTTGTGTGTGTTGATAGTTTTGAAAAGAGCTGAAATATTTTCTAAATGCCTGTAGGTGAGGTGGTCATGCTCAGATACATTCCTGTAAAGAAAGGGCCTCTATGATATGATATTATGAACTATCACTATGTGAAATGTTTCTTTTTTTTTAATCTAATTTGGCAAGTGTCTATGCATGTACAATGTTTCAGCAAGCAGAAGGTTCCTGATCTGTTAGCATGTGGTTGCTATTTTCTACTTAAAACCAATGGACAGAAATTAAACGTTTCATTACACATTTGAATTTAAGAAGATGAAAGGTTGTAGGCTTGCTTTTCCAAGAAAAAAACTGTTCTTTAAATCCTTATTTTAAACCCTCAACTTCTTTAATGTCAGTTTCATTATATAATACTGAATTTCAAACTGATCAGTTCTATATCCTTTGATTATGAATTTTCTCTCCAAATTCACGTCACACTGTGCTGATACGTGTGTTTTATTTCTCTTAATCTGTCATCAACCTACACTAAACTGATATTCGCTTAGCTAGCCTCATGGCTATCTTTGGCCACTTGGGGGCATTGGATACAAGTTGTGAGCACAACATTGACATACAGAATAATCGCCTTTGAAGTTGATCAACAGTGACTTTTTTGTTGTAGAGGAGCATTATCATTAATTTGGAGTTGTGATTCTTGCCACCTGGTGAAATTGAGTCTTTTTAGCTCTGATATCGCCTTATATCTGGCTCATTTGCTGCTAAATGCTCCACTGTGTTCACCAGCTAGTCGCTAACTGTGACTGTCTGCTGTTTGGTGCTGAAACTCTCTATAAAGCTTTAAAATGTCGAAGTCAGCTGCAGATCAGATTCAGGTGATAATTCTCTGTGGGTTTATCACTACGGCCAACTCCTTTTACATTGTAACACTGTTTTTACATTAATGTCATTTGAAACATTATTATAAAAATATCAATAATAGTCACTTTAGGGAGAAATTATTATCCACTGCACTGTCATCTTCAACTTCAGATTGGATTCATTTTAGAAATCTATTTTATTTAATGAAGAGTGAGTGAAAATGCCAATTAAAAAAAAAAAAAGTTTGCACACTTTTCATGCACACGTGTGTACTTTGCCTCCTCTGCTGCATTCATGTGTTATCAAGACCTCAGCTTCCAGGCTCAGCTTGTAACTGCTTTATCTTTCAAGCCACAGGAGAAGCCCGACAATGGGTGCAAGAGTGTGTGTGCTCACTTGTGTGTGTTTGTTTGGGGGAGTTAGGGGGAGGGGCTGGTCGTTAATGTTGAAATCAATCAGTAAATCAGAAGCACAGCCTGCAGAGGGGCCACTGCCAGCGATGACTCTCACTAGAAGCTTCAAGTAATAAAAGGAGAGAGGGTGGGGGTTGGGGGGGGGGGGGGGGGGGGGGGGGGGGGGGGGGGGGGGGGGGGGGGGGGGGGGGGGGCGACTGGATGACTCAGCTTAGGGAAATGAAGGAAACTGCACAGTAAAGGTGGCAGATTGGTGGTCATCATATCCCCCAAAGGATGAGGGGTTGTATGCCCCCCCCCATCCCACACTGTCTCAGGATTTTAAAATGCATTTTTACAAACCCGTCTTGAACAGTGTCTGAGAGAGGACTGAATGCAGTGAGAGGCAAAGGCATGAGGAGGCTGAGGGTGATGTCTTCTGATGGCTCATGGCTACTAGTTTGAACCATTTACTTGGCTGCGGTCCAACTAGTTCACCTCCTCACGAGGCCCAGGCTGAATTAAAACTGGCCTGCCAGAGCAGAGTGGAGTTTTCAGTTTGCTTGCTGGGAGACTGCAGGAGGCCGGCATACTTTAAACCTCTCAGGGGTCTGGTGAGGGCCTCTCCATTCTTCCTACAAACAGATGGAGCTGTGCCTGATGAATGCCTATGTACAATACATACAGACCCTTGTGGAAATAAAGGAAACTCCAGAGTAACAGCAACAGTTCAGTCCTCATGACTATAAAATCATACAAATTATTTGCCTGTGTCAGTGAGAATCAAACTACTTACTTCTTGAGGGGAAGGGTCTTTTTGTCTGTTGTAATCTTGGGCTATTTTTTGGGGATAATGTAACTAAAATAGTTGTATATTGTTGTGCAGTGGATAAACCAAGATATGTTTCATTATACACTTAAGAATTTTACAGCTTGTTTATAGGATGTGTGATTTGTACACTCGACAGCAGTGCAGTTTAAGCCAGCCAGAGTATGTGAGGGTGGAGCTGCTGTCCCGACTTCCAGGCCTTAATGGTTATATGCTTTCCAGATGCATTGTTAATGAGTCCATGTAACACACAGATGCATAAGACAGTTGGCAGGTAGAGGAAGCATATAAGCATGACCTCTGCCAAAGCAGCTAGTCCATTGTATCAAAGCAGCTGGTTACGTTCAGTATGAATGCAGTTTACAGTTCAGTATATACATATACACACATACAGGCAAGGAGGGAAGAAAGAAAAGGGGTGTGTCACACTGGGATCAGATCATTTGAGCTAGAATTGTTGCCAAAAACCTCTTTTGTGGAGATGTCAGTCATGACACAGAAAGTTGTAAATCTGTGCTCTGTATGATTGATTCCAGATTTCTCATCTCTTACTGTCATCTAAATATCCTCCTTTTTGAAG